CTGCTAGATAACTACAACAGCATCCTAACTGGGTGAGCCTTTTCCAAGCTTTCCTCCTCCCACTATACTCTCCGACTGCGACCTTTTTGTCAGTGTAGATTGGGTACTATTCATGCTTAAAACACTGGAGGAGCTTCCAGTAGCATTCAGGATATCACCCTCTCCTTCCCCTTTCAAGGCTGTGAGAGGACCTGCCTCAGTCCCTAAGCTGATCTCCCAAGGCTGCCCCTGAACGCACATGCTGCAGCCTACCTGCTTCCTTTCTCTTCCTTAAATGCACCACACCACTTCCTGCCTCCAGCACGGTATTCATTCAGCCTGGCAGCCCTCCCTGAGCTCTTTGCCCAGCTGTCCCTTCTCATTTTTCAGGTCCGACGTAAAATCATTTTCCCAGGGAGATCTCCCCACTCAATCTAAAGTCCCCACTTGTCACTATCTCCCCAGTCCTTATTCTTTTGCTTTGTAGAATTTATTATAGCGTGTAATTATATACCTATTTGACCTTGCGCCCACAGCCTGTCTCCCCACTCGACTGTCAGTTTGTTTTGTTCACCATGACGTCCCCGGTGTCTTGCATGGAACCTAACCCATAAAAGAGCACAGGATATATTTGTTGAACAAACGAATGGATACTAAGCCCTTTCTAATCAGGTGGTATTGTGCAAATGTAAGTCCCCATAGAAAAGTGACTCCATTTCATCTCATCCAGTGAACCCACTGAAACAGTATCTCTGACAACATCATGAGATGAAGTTGAAGGTTCAAATTCAAAACGCTGAATTTGGCACTATTCTATTTACTAGTGTCAGGTTTATGGGGAATATGATGGAATAAGATCTGCTCCCAGAGAACTTACAGTCTTACCAGAAGAAGAGATGTATGTCTGAAACACTTGGAGAATAATTAAAAGAAAGAATATATTCCAGTGTCAGAATGATGTAGCAGATCATAATTTTAACCTCAAATTAAAGGCAGGAACCACGGGTGAGAGTTGGGGCAGATGACTTCATGAAGGGAGAAGACTTGAACTGGACGTTGAAGGAATTAGGGTTTTCAGGGACGGGGGTGGGCGTCACATGCAGGGCCAAAAGAGCCACTGTACGACAAAGGGAGTGAAGGCAAAGCCTGCCGAGAAGCAAAGGCTGGCATTAGGCTCTGTACCTGCCTTTCAAATGACAATTACAGAGACAGGCAGAGAGAGCAGTTTCATAAGGAAGACCATCAGGATCTTTGCTTTTGACTTTCCACACTTTAGTAAGTAAAAAGCAGCAGAATATTCTTTGTGTTTTCCTACACCAATTTAAAAACTCAAATGTACAATAATTTTGTTGGTCAAGAATTCTTCTTATATTTTAGCTCAAAGAGGAAACCTTTAATCTTCAAAAGTATAGGAACCCAAGAAAGAAAAATGAACAACACTGGGTGCAAATGCATGGAAGAGAATTACCACCAGGCAATGGGGTCAAGTGGGTCCAAAAATGTGATTTAGAAAAGGGTGCCTGGAGGAATGTCAATTCCAGTACACTACATGTGTGGGCTGTGCACAGACCACCTGAAGCAGGGCAGCACCTACATCCTTTCCAGGGTAGCTTCAGTCTTTGAAAATAGATTGTATTTTGGTAAACAATTTCCCATTAGAAAAATACATTAACTCATGTTCAGAAAACACAGTTGATTTATTTCTGGTTTAGGAACACTCTAGAAATGTAAAAGGGAAACATTTGTGTCTTTATTCCAGTAAATATGAATTAATTTTGTTTAAGCACCCCTTTACAAAAGGGCTTTTATTCTTACTGCTCATGCTTGCTTTCTTATTGCATCTTTTCTCCCAGGCATGTTTATCTCTGAAACATTGCTTTGGGGAGCATAGGTGTCAGCAATCACTCGTTCCATTTTGAGCTCAGGGAAAAGCATATGTTATACACGTAGAAACAGGGAAAAGGAAAATAAATGAAATGTTTGTTGCTATATATTTACGTGTACTTGGTACTGTGTTTTAAATTAGCCCGTAGTTAGGCTACAACACCTGATTCAGAGGAAATTCCCTGAAGGAGTAAAGAGGCTGGGAGGGCACCAGCACTCGCAGGATACACAGGGTCCGGCAGGAGGAGGGCCTGCTTGAGCGTGGTTGATAGGGTAATAATATGGGTGTAATAATTTATAGTTTTACTTTTCACATTTCACCTAAAATGTCATATGATGCACCTGAGTGTGATATTGTCATGTTACAGAATTATACACTTATGATTTTGTAATAAAAGATCTTGTAATGAAAAAGGGGCATTATTTATTCTGCACCCTGTATAGGGAGAGAGATCTTGCCTCGGGCTGTGTATTTACAGACTTCTTTGCAAAGACACTTACAATGCAAGTATGATGAAACAAACAGTTGTTTATTTGGGACATGGGAGACGAGGTGATATGACTCTTCTATAGCTTCTACAGGAATTAGGTACTTGAAGCCATAATTCACCAGTACTTTTAGTAAAACAGTTGTTTTTTCTTAAATGACTAGGCCAGTAGGACCTCAGGAATTCCTTAGTCAAAACCCCCATCCCTTCAAGTGATAAAACCTCATATGCACGAAGGCATTTATATTGGCTGAACCACATAAAGAAATAGCTTCCAAATTAAGATATCAATTATTGCTGCTAAGGTTTGTTTTCTTCTTTGAGGTCCTTATTTCATTTGGTATTTAAATAACAATTTACATAAACCTCAAATTGAATTTCAGGTATACGCACTGCCATCTGCATTGTCTACCTTCCAGGGGCTAAAGCAGGGGAGAGCGCTCAGGAGTATACAAGGAGCTGCACAAAGGAAAGGTGTGAATGTCATGGTTATCAGTAGCTATCTAGCTTAATTAATTAAAAGCATTAATAAAAACAAAATATTTAATATTTTGCCTAACCTACCAGAAAAGCCAAATGCCACCAGGAAAGAATGAGTTTCACCTCAGGAAATATGAGGGTAATGGAATGGGTTCAAGGCAAACCTCTCAGATGTCACCCAGAGTTACGCAGCGACTGGAGGCCAGCCGAGCAGTTTCTTCACCGCAGAGCACTGCACCCATGGCCCATTTTTCAGGAAGGAATAGGAGTCTGGGAACATGGGGTTTCCAACATAAAATTACAGCCCTAGAACTCCAGAGTTCAACCACTCAGGTCAAAGATCTTGGAGAACACGATTCTGTGGAGAGTGTGAAATGACAGCAAGAGAATGAACCCTTCTGAAGGAGGCAGGAAGAAAAGGTGGCATAGATCCAGTTAACAAAAAGGGCGGGGCTGCATTCTTTTGTGCATTTCTGTGGTGCAAGTAACCCAGTCAGGGTTCCTCATCTCCACTGAATTCTCCATCAAGCCAAAAGAAACAAACAAAATATTCCCTGCTGTGGGTTCTCAGAGTCTGAAGTAATGAACCAAAACCAGTTAAAAGGAAATCAAATCTGTTCTGGGAAGTGACAGCCCCTCTGACTTTGAGAGCACCGCCAACAATGACCTCAGAGAGATCAAACTATCAGTTTCCCTTCTGGAATTCCCTTCTGGAACTGTCTGGAGCCAAGATATTTGAGAACAACTGCCAAATGTTCAGGAGTTCAACTTTTCCTAAGGTGACCCTCAGGAGAAGTTTTATGAGGTCCCAGCACCTCACAAAAACACTTATACCTCTTGCAAAGTCCCCAGTTATGCTTCGAAGGTATCTCAGGACATAGTTTCCCAAGATCGTTGCCAGCAGGTAGCTGTCTGAAAGGACCCAGAACAGAACATTGTTACCAGAGAAGCTGTGGAGGTGAAATCTGGTCCATCGGCTGTGAAAGAGCTCTTAGGTAAAGGTTATTCATGGGGAGCCAACATAAAGAAAAGGAAGCATAACATTACCCAGAACAGGAGATAAAGAAGGCAGCCATCACCTTCCATTAATCAGCTGATCAGATATGAAGAGAATATTTACAAATCGACTTTCCACACAATTCCCAATTTCAGAGCATGTGGGATGGAGACACTATTTTTGTTGGCGTTCATCAAACAAAAGACAATACTAAAAGGTTCTTTTGTTTCGTTTGCCTAGAGTCATTCAGTTTAATGGGTGGTTTCAGTTTTCTATACCTCCTCACTGTCTATTTTATGTCTCCTCCACTTGACATACATGGGGGAAAGCAGAGTTTGCCACCCCACAACATGTCTGTTGAGATACTGATCTTTTTAAGTTGGTTATTTTTAAGAAAAGAAAGACTGAAGAAGAACCTTTAACCTTCCCCTCACTGTCTAAAAGAATTTAAATAGACGACCTGCTCCAGAAAGGGAGTTGTCATCACAGATAACTATAGTTTAACATAAACTTGCATGTGAGACAGGGAGGAATGTAGCAAGGCCCAACCGATCCGTCTTCTCTTCTCTGTGTACCACCATTAACCTGGCCCAGCAAACATTTATTTATCAAACATTTGCTTTTCCATCCCCATATGGATCGCCTTCCTCACCTTTGAATTCCCTAACCACAACCCAACTCCCCTTCTCCTTAGCTCAAGATGGCATATAAGCCTCAACACCCATTCTGTCCGGGGGTCCCATATTCTTATGAAGCCCCCATATGTACACAGGTAATCAATTTGGTCATTTTCTCTTGTTAATCTGTCTCATGTCAATTTGATTAGTCCAGCAAGAAGAACTGAGATGGGTAAAACAAAAATTTTTCTACCCACACATAAAATGCTATAGAATTTTTAATTAAAATAAACTTTATTTTGCAGCAGAGTGACTTCATTTGGACTCATAAAACATAGAATTACTAGATTAAAGAATGGAAGTATGAAGATTTAGAATTGGGAGACACAATATAGGTCAGTATTGACAAGTGCATGCTTGTAGGTTTATATCCACATCATCAGACAAATTCACACTGAGGAAAAGCTCTACTTCAGAGCTTTATGATTTCATCCATTAACTCTCAGAGGCATAGAAAAGGTAAACTAAGCTAAATGCACCATTCTAGGTACTTACTGATTCCTTGAAAGAGCTCTTCAATATTAATAGCATTTTTTGCACTTGTTTCAACCACGATGGCACCTATGGATTCAGCATATTCCTTCGCATCCTTCAAGGGAACTTCCCTGGAAAAGAAGTCAAACCCAGACAGATATGAACACTCATTTGTAAAATATAAATAACCCCAGCAGACCAAACAAAAAGCTCATGTGGAAATAGCTCCCGTATTTTCCTGGAGAATATCAACTCCATGACTCAGAAAGTATTAAAAATCAGTAGGCATGAGACTTTTTAAAGTTGAAAACCTGGTCTCTGGCATCCATGGAGACAAGAGGTTCATATGTAAAATACTGTTCCAGTCCCAGAGAAGTAAAGAATTCCAGGACAGTAGGAAAAATCATTATGTATACATTCCAGCTTTCTGAGGTAGGTTTGATTTCAAATTATTTTTCCCCATAATAATGACTAAATACTTTACAAAATGTGTGTGTGCTTCTGTGTGCAAGTTTCTATAACAGTCCATTATATCATTTTTCACAAGTCACAGAAAATATGTAGCATGATTAGAAAGTTTGGAAATAAACATGTAATAGCTACAATAGCTATGATGCAGTATGGCATATTTGGACTTTGACCTTTAAATGGCTGTTCCTGCAAAGGTTTTAGGACATGAACTCTAAATAAACAATAGAAAATGGCATTAATTGATCTACTTTTCATGTAAAGATACTGTGGTGTAGCCAAAAATTAAAAAGTCACAATTTCTATTCTCCAGAAGTTTATCCATTTATTCAACAAATAGTCATTGAGCAGATATTGTATGCCAATCCTTCTTGTAAGTGCTAGAGAAAACAGTTCTTGCCTTCTGAAATCTACATATGAGAGAAAGGCAAACACATCTGCAGTCACTCTAATCCACAACATTTTAACACCTGTAATATGTAGGTAAGCAGCAGAGGGGTAGAAAGTAATGCATTTTGATTAATGGAACCAAAGAAGATGAACTGGAGAGGGTCACCTGAAGTGCGGCCATGCAGGGCAGGGAGCGCGCCGGTGAGGACTGCGATGCAGCAGCCAGAAGGCCCACGGGGCGGCGCGCCCTCATCCCCGGGGAGTGGTAAAAGTCGATTCTGCACCCAGCCCTGCCGTGAGTGTAATGGTGGATTTACAAATGAATGATCACAGTGTGTGAGAGAGTCCAGCAGGAACCATGGGAGATGGGCAGGAAAGCACCCAGTGGCCAACAAAGAACTGTGACAAGGTCCACTAGAAAGCTCCAGATTCTAGGAAAACACAATGCACAAAATGGACAAGAGTGGGCTGTGAGGAGAATCTGGAGGTTTCTCTAATGCTATGGGTGAGAGAGAACACAATGCTGGACCGGGAGGGCTACAGGAAAAGAAAAAAGGAGGACAAGAAATCAGAACTGGGAGGGGCGAGTGAAGAGACTGTTTTTTTTCCTATCTCCTTTCCTTTCCTCTGATCCCTCCAAATTCCTTATGAATGGTTACAACTCGTTTATAAAGCTACTGGGAAAATTCTACCTTGGCATTTAAATTCTTTACTACCCCAAAGCATATGAGAGGAGAATGTTTCCGGTACTTGCTGCGAAAGGGCCTAACTAGAGCCTACCATATTAAAGAAAGACAGTGGTCCCAGGACTTCATACCCCCCTTAGGAGAGAGACTTCCTAAGCGATGACGGCTGGAATGGTACTTCATAACTCTTCTTACCAAAAACACTGGGAAAAATTATGCTGCTGAATCTGCCCTCTACATTGTTTCTTACAAAGAAGCCTAGCCTCTTACAGGTTTTTTTTTTTTTTAATCTTAAGGTTTTTGGTGGCAATGAATTTTATGTTTGAAATATTCCAGAGGAGGGCTTTTTAATGTTCAGTTTGGCATGTTACCCCATATTTTAATTTCTTCCTGGCAGTCTTTGTCAAACCACAAATAGAAGGGTAGGTCTCATGCTTTATCTGCCCCACATTTGTGTGTTTATACCTTAGCAAGTTTCAATTTACCTGTTTCAATACCTAATGCAGTGTCCGGCCTATGGCAGACACTTGATAAATAGTTGTTGTAAAAAATGAATGAAAGTCATTGGATGCCATAGTCTCATGTAGTCCTGATTACAGAAGGCCAGTGAATGCAACTTTCCAGCCACTTGGGTCTGTACAATGGGCCCCTTCTGAAATGCAGCTGAAGGAGTTCCCAGGTTGCGATTTTACATGTCTGCGAGAGGCTCTAACGAAGTATATTCTCACCTTTCTAAGGGTGTTTCATATTGTAGTTGCAGTGTGTTCCAGCAATAATTTCCTGATTCCAACTCCTGCAATTTAATTGAATTCTGACGCTAACTACCCTAAATTAGCACAGGCCCCACAAAATTAAGGACTCAGACCCAACAAGATTGTCCCCTACTTCAGACACCAGCTCCAAGTTTTGGGAATCTGCAAGTTACCCTCAGTTTTCTGCCCAACAGACTACAAATTTGGGGTTCCCATACCACTAGAATTGCGATGACAGTTTTCCTATGAAGCATACAACTCAGGGCCAGCCAAATGGAAGAGGTTCATAGGGCAAGGTATGTGGCAAGGGTGTGGAGCTTCCTTGCCTTCTTTGCGCATGCTGCCCTTCCAGCACCTTCACCAATCCAAAGCTTTCCAAGCCTTGTGTTTACGAGTGTTTATTGAGGCTTCATTACATAGTTATGCATGATTAATTAAATATCTAGCCCCCCTCCACTTCCCTAAAGTTTGGGGAGTGGGGCCGAAAGTTCTAACCCTCTAATCCTGTGGTTGTTTCCTCGGGTGACCAGCCCCACACTGAAGCTGTCTAGGCGCCCCCCTCCATCAGAAACTCGGGTTTGGTCTAATGGGGCTCTCGATGAATAACAGAAGACACACCTTTAAGTCAGGAAGTTCCGTGGGTTTCGGGAGCTCTGCGCCAAGAACCAGGGACCAAGACCACATACATATTTCTTATTATACCACAGTAGTGAAAACATAGTTTGGCAGACTACAGTGGTTGGTCCATCTAACCTCGGTTCATATTAGAGGGACTTTCACTGGCCCTCCAGACTCTTAAAGTAAGAACCTGTTCTTCAGGAGGATGGGATCTGCCCCTCCCCTACCTCCACCCCCAGCTCCAGCATATTACAGCTTGAGGATATTTTGAACCCATATGTTCTGTATCTGCTCTGGAGTGTGGATGGCAGCGGGTGGTTGTGTTGTCAAGGCCTGATGGGAGCCAGAAGCCTTGGGTTCAGCCATGCCTCCAACTCCAGTTCACTCTGTCATCTTGGGCAAGCCATTAATCTAACAAGACATTTCTAAATGTGGAACGAGTCCGAGGACACACTTTCCTTAACTCTCCATTTCAAGGTCCAGCATTGTATTCTCTGAGATAATTAACCCATCCAGTTGACTCAGCATAGATTGTGTTGCAAGTGACTTTGTTTTCACCTTAATCTGGCAAAAGCTCTCCCACTCCTCTTTGTCCCACAGTGGGGCTGATGAGAGGGCAGCTAAGGAAGCGTTTAACTGTATATGGAACGACCTCTCACCTGAGGGGTGCCTGATGTTCCCTTGGTTGCCGGTTGTGCCCATACCCCCTGGTGAAGATGAGTAGGCCACAACATGCTTTATCTGTCCCACATTTGGGCAGAGATGAGACCCACCCTTCTATTTGTGGTGTGACAAAGACTGCCAGGAAGAAATTAAAATATGGGGTAACATGCCAAACTGAACATTAAAAAGCCCTCTTCTGGAGTATTTCAAACATAAAATTCATTGCCACCAAAAATCTTAATGGAAAAGACTATTTGTAGACTTTCTAAACTAAACTGTGTATAGAATGCCAGGACTCACAGAAGTCACCCAGAATAGTTACTGTAAACTAGTCAGGAGTATAAACTTGGATTTCTTCTCTGCCCCTCCCCAACCCATGCTCCTCTTTCCCACTGCTGTTCCTTCACCCTCATTCATATTCTGTCTGATCCTTAAATGTCAGCATTACCCAAGGTTTCTTTCTTGACTATCTGAGGGCCTACCCACATTCAAAGCAGCGGGGACTGGCTGCTTCTGGGGGCCAAGTGGTCAGAATGGAGGGTGGAGTTCGGGGCAGGAGCTAGATTCCCTCTGAAACCAAGAGGAGACACAAAGGGCAGAAGTGGGAAAGTTGGAGTCCACAGGGCAAGCAGAGGTCCCCTTACTAAGGAGACACCAACTGCAGGGACCAGAACAGACCAGAGTGAGGGTCAAAATCAAAAGCAAAACTGTCAGGATCAGGGCGGGGTGACTGCCTCCAACAGTGGACACTGTGCCGTAGAGCATTTTCTGGACTCACCTGTGCATGACCTGTGGTAACAGGCTCAGCGGGGCAGAGATACTGCCTTGCTCTCCTGGATCTAGACATTATCTCCCTATTGAGCTAGCTGGTCACCACTACTTGAACAGCAAATGCACTTCGCAATTGTAACTTGTCACAGCCTGATTACTGCCTCTCACCCACAGGTCAGCCACTGTTTCCATAAACCTTCTATTTCTCAAGCCAGAAATCATGCTTCCCCTCTCGCACCCCTCTGCGCTAAGCAATGAAGCTTACTTGCCCTGGCAGCCTCTCCGCTATCAACCCTGCCTCCCTCTTCCTTTGTTACACAAATTTCTGCAGTTGCCTCATTGTGTATTGGGTTAATATGATTTCACATTCACTTATTCATGACTTAAATGAAGTTCTTTTAATCCACTTGTTTACGACAAAAAAGAAAGTTTGACAGAAGAATGAAGTCCTGCCAGAATGTCATCACTCTACATCTGTGGTCGTTGATAAACAGCCAGCTGCTGCTTCTTATCAATAAGAACATGTGGAAGCAACTATGGCCAAGGGGACATTTAGACTACAAATACAGAAAGTCTGCAAGGACTGTTTGAGGTGGGGCATTCACTCCTATTTTGGTGAGGCACTCATCCAAGCCAGGGGTGACCAGGCAGCAACTCTGGGAAAGAGATCAGCTTGCCTATCAACATTGGTATCTCAACACTGCTACCTTCATTCCCTAGTAAAAGGCTCTGACAACAGGAGACTTTTTCTTTTGCATTGGCAGCTGGAAATCTGGAAATCAG